AGATCCCTTCTTGATTTATTTAATTTATTGACACGACCTGATCTAGATTTTAATTCAGGATAGGCTGCCGATGGATAGCAAGATTTGTATCCCTTGGATGTTATGTACTTTTTATTTTCCCTGGTTTACTCCAAGGTCAGCTCTGCTTTTTTTCGATATCTTTGTTTATGTTAAAAAATAAGCAATTTTTTGGAGCCTAAACAGTGAACTTCTCTATTGCAGTTGGATACTATTATTTTTCCTCCACTCAGATTCGCAGAAGCATAAAGTATGGTGATCAACCAAGAAATAGGTACATCTTGTATTTTAGGTTGTTCGGTAATGTTTTTATTTTCTTATTTTTTGTTTTTTATTTCCAGTTATTACTTTGGATAATTGTTTCGTTTATTGCTTCTCTGTTTTAACAAACATTTCCAAAAATTATATACAAATTTTAGAAACCGTAGAAAGGAATTTGTAAATTCCAAGTAATAGCTTGTTTGTTTCCAAAGAGGATTTTTAGTCATCCTAAGAGGTTCTTTGGAATATGAATGAGTTCATAATTGCTATCTGTTTTCCTAGATGTCTATTAACTAGGATATTAATTTTAAAACTCTACACTCTTTCTTAAATACCATAAATAGAGGTATTCTCCACCAATTGTAAGGATCCAGCTCCAATTGAGCAAAGGGCCAAAGCACTCAATCGAAGATGTTCTTCTTCATATTTGATCTTCATTCTAATTTCTAGTCTACTTCATTGCCACCAACCAAATTTGGTAGCAGAGTCATTCTAAAATTGAACGTACCGTGTTCCTAACTTGTTTTCCCTCCCAAAAACCTAAGTTTCGGTGTTTGTAGAGCATTATGAATATTGGCAAAGCCACATGGATACAATTTTTATTTCTCTGAGATCTTTGGAAAATTATTAAAGAAGATTATGAAGTACTTGAAGAAGATGAAGGCATTTCAGAGCGGACTCCATAAAACAGAGGAGTTTAAGAGAAGAATAAAAGGCGAAATGCTTTACTTCTTCAACTTATTCAACAAGGTGGTAGTAAGTCCATTTTCACTAGAATTTTTTTATTAAAACAGCTAAAGATGCTTGGAAAATTTTGCAAATAAATTTTCAAGGATTTGAAACAATTATCTCTCTCAAGTTGCAATGTTTGTAGAGAGATTTTGACAACTTGGCCATGATGGAAAGTGAAAACATTTGAGAATTCTTTTCTTGAGTTTATTAAATTATCAACCAAATGAAGAGCTATGGATATACTATTTTAGAGAAGATAGTCAATGAAAGTTCTCTGGGGTCTTCCTTCAAAACAATCATCTTTTTGGAGGCTTGCAGCAATTCTAGAGTTCAAAGATTTGTCTAAATTGAAAATCTTTGAACTAATGGGTTTGCTTCAAGCTCATGAAGAAAGATTGAACAAGTCTTTAATTCAATTCGTGGAGAAAACCTTTCCTACCAAGTTAAACTTTGCTGAAAAGAAGACTAATAAGTCTAATCATAAAAAATGATGGAATCTTGCACAAAAGAAAGAGAATGTGCAAACATGATCGAAGAGAGAAGGGAAGATGAAAATGTAAAAAATCTGGTAATTCTTATTCTCACTCCATTATTTGCAAATGTTGGATTCCAAATCATTCTAAAAAAGATTGCTAGTTTTAAAATTAAAAGGAAAATGTTGAAACAAATTTTACAAGAGAAGATGAAGAGGAGCAATTATTTTCTTGTTCAATTGACCAAAATGAATCTTAAAGTATATGGTATTGGATAGTGTTTGCATAATCATATGATAGGAAATAAAAACTTCTTTGTCAATTTTGATCGTAGTTTCCGCTCTCAAGTGAATCTCGGCAATGACAAGATGTAGAAAGCTGTTGGAAGGAAAATGTGTCACTGTTGTTCACACCACGAAAGAAGATACGTGATATATATCGTAGATTTTTTTTTTATATATATATTCTTGGCATAATCCAAAATTTGTTAATAAGTGTTGGTCAGTTGCTCCGAAAAGATACACAGTTAATTTTGATAGTGGCAAATGTATTATAATGGACAAGAAAAAGGATCCGATAGTATTATCAAATGCGATTTTAAGAGGAGTGATTACGACAGTTGTGTGTATGTTAAGGAAATTAACAAGGATGCTTCTATTTTCTTATTACTTTATGTAGATGATATGTTGATATCAAAAGGCCTTTTAACGATTGCAAAGTTAAAAGGGTGAGTTGTGAAAGGAATTTGAAGTGAAGGATTTAAGCTCGGCTAGTAAAATTCTTGGCATGGAGATTCAAAGAAACAGAGCTGACAGAGCTGAAAGGAATCTCTTGATAACTCAAAGTGATTATCTAAACAAAGTTGTTAAAAGATATTGCATTGATGAAGCCAAGTCTGTGAAAATTCCATTTTTCCAACATGTTAGATTATCAAAAGTTCGATCACCCAAAATAGAAGAAGAAACAGCTGCAATGGTAAAAGTTCCATACTCAAGTGCGTGGGAACTTGACGTGTGAAATGACTTGCAGTTGCCCAAATTTAGCTTATGCAATGAGTGTTATTAGCAGGTTCGTGACTAATCCTAAAAATCCACATCGAGAAGCTGTGAAATTAGTTCGGAGATATGTCAAAGGTACTGCAAATTCAGGTTTAATTTATACTGAAAATGAATCTGAAATGCCGTACCTAGAAGAAGGATTTGTAGGTGCAGATTTTGCTTCAGATTTAGATAAGAGACGATCTACAGCAGGATGTGTTTAAATTGTTTTGAAATACCGTGACTTGGAAGTCCTCTCTTCTGTCAGTTGTAGTCTTATCTACCACAGAATCCAAATACATGGCTCTCATAATATGTAAAAGAAGCAACATCAACATGGCTTAAAAGGTATGATTTCTGATTTTTTAGGTGAAATTCCAGAACCTCTGATCTATTGCGATAGTCAGAGTGCTTTATCACTTTCTAAAAACCCTTTATACCATGACTGTACTAAACACATTGATATTAATATTAAGTCTCATTACTTGAGATGGTGAGTAATTTTGCTTCTGTTATTTTTCTGTCTGCTGAGGAATGCATTTGGACTCAAGAGGGTGATTTGTTATGTTGATTCAAGATGTATCCTAGCTGGAGGAATTATTATGCTGCCCACGTCACTTTATTTTTGAGTGAAAGCTCAGTTAAATTAGTTATAGGGAATATTTTTCTGCGTGATTCCCTGGAGAGAAGAATTCCCRTTGTAAGAGTGAGAGGGTGTATCTGAATTCCCCTGTTCTTCTTCTTCCTTTTCTGAGATCATTCTTTGTGGGTTTTATTAGTTTATCAGTGTTCATTTCTCTTCTTGRTGTATTTTGTCTTCTTCTGTTGATATACTGAAGCAGTGAACTCACCTTGCATGGTGGATGTAGACCTTATGGTCGAACCACTATAAAACTGACGTCAAATTTCTCGTCTCTTTCCTTTTATTATACTTTTATTTTGTTGCTAAGATATGCGTTAAATAGTGCAGTTGATGAATCCATAACAGTTGAGAAACAACAAACATAAACAAAACCATTAATCTGTTTATGTCTGTGGCTGAATAAATGATTTGTTTAGTGCAGATTGGATCTGTATCTACCAAAAAATAGGGATGGATCAAAGCCAGTGGTTGCATTTGTCACAGGTGGAGCCTGGATTATTGGGTAAGTGATGTATTATATATTGACATTCTCTCAAACATTTAGTTTAAAGAAGATAATGCATAAAGCGATATGGTTTCTGCTTCTACAACAGCTCCAAAAGTTAGGAATTTAACTTCCAAAACTTATTATTTACACAAGCTTAGGCATTAAACCAAATGACTGGACATAGCTAGAACCAGAAGATCACAAAGCATGGGGTTTGAGAAGTGATCATGATACATTATTATTTTCTGCTTTAATTTATGCAAACATCTATATTTTTGAGGTCATTATTATCTTTTTACACAGTTACAAAGCATGGGGTTCTCTTCTTGGATTACAATTATCAGAGAGAGACATCATAGTAGCCTGCCTTGATTATAGGTGAAACAGAAACCACTAACAGGTTGAATTATTTGATGAAACCCCATGTTCAATTCACTTTTTTTTTTTTTTTTTTAATTCTTTCGCCAGTTACCTCTGATTTTTTGTTTTGGATATATTTAACTAATTAATTAGATATGTTACACCTTTAATATGCCAAATTCCGTACCTAAGTGGTTGGTGTCTTCGGCTTCTTTTCTACCTCTTATTTTGTAATGTTTAGAAATTTCCCCCAAGGAACCATGAGTGATATGATAAAGGATTCTTCTCAAGGCATCTCATTTGTATTCAATAATATTGCTGAATATGGAGGCGATCCTAACAGGTAATATATACAGTACCTTTATATGCTTTATCATATGCTTGAAATATCCTTGATCTAGTACTTAGGGAGTGTTTTTGACCATGAAAAAGCACTTCTCACTCAAAATTATATGTTCGGGAGTAACATAAGAGTAGTTTAAAAAAGAAACACCTGTGAAAAAGTATGAAAATGCTGGTTGAATGTTTTTGGCCTAGGTGCTTAATAGGAAGCCTTTCAAAATGACTAGACCAAACATTAAAGTGATTTGTTGTTGAGTACTTGTTTTAAAAGCATTCTCCCTGGATATTATAGGGTTTTTCTAATGGGACAGTCAGCTGGTGCACATATTGCTGCGTGCACACTTGTAGGTCAGGCAATTAAAGAGGCTGGTGGTGAGAGCATTTGTTGGAGTGCTTCYAAGATCAAAGCTTTCTTTGGTTTATCAGGGGGGTAAGTGCTTATTGAAGTACTCTTGTTATAGGATAATTTCTTAATAGTTATAGAAAGGCCATTTTTGTCCAAATTATTTTTCTTTGTTTTTCTTAATCTTCTTCTTCAGTGAAAGAGAGGTGTGCCAAATTCTAGCTGGGAAAAGATTAGGAAAACATAAAAAGTTGTGAGGGGTAATTTTTCACAATTTGTAATATTGATGGTGTAGAAAGATATTTTGGGTTTACTTGGAATTTCCCAAAATTTTCTGATTGGAACCAATATTATTATTGTGAAGATTTTGATAATCAAGATTGAAACTTGCAAGTTTAGTCATTGTTAGAGGAGTTAATGGATAAAATGCATGTCAGGGTGTGTTTTAGAAAGTTTGAAATACGACTATTTTTTAGTAAAATTACTTCAATTATAAATACCTTACATCAAAATTTTATCCTTTTTTTTAGATAAGGAACTTGCTTGTATACAGACAAAAAATGAACAACCTAAAAGGCTAAAAGCTGGGTAGAGGAAACCTCACCCGAGAGCTAAACAAGCATTTTCCAACTGTTCATGACCATGGAAATGATGTAATTACAAAAGAATTTCTTGTAATTGATGCACCACCAAGAAGCAATGTGCTGTACATTCCTAAAAAAATGTTAAAAGTAGAGGATTTATCCTAAAAAACATGGGAGATCCTTTCTAACCAGAGATGCCATAGAAGGGCTCTCGAAGCACAGTTCCATATAAACTTAGCCTTCTTAAGGAGATTCCATCAGTGAAAAACGTTAGAGAGCCAACCATCAATTTGTCTAGGGAAACAAATCGACATACCAAGAAGATCTAAGACAAAATACCAACCCCTCCCCGCAAACTGGCAGTGAGTGAAGATATGATCAATGTTCTCATTGCTGTTCGTGCATATGCTGCAAATCGATAGGGAGAGCCTCGGTTTTAACAATAACAAACCTCTTTGATGTTTGGTTCTACCTTTTTAAAAGTATTTTTGGAGTGTTTTAAGCACTACTACCAAATGCTTGTGTTTTTGTGCACCATGATTTTTCAGCAATACCTGAATTAATCATGATTATTTCTTCTTGGTTTATGCAACACCAACATCCATAGGTACAATTTGTTAAATCTAGTGGATTATTTTCACAGTAGAGGTCTTTACAGATCAATATTTTTAAGGTACATAACATTTATTATTCTTTTCCTTATTATACTACTACACATCAAATACATACATTTGTAAAGACTTGAATTTCTAATACAGCATAATGGAAGGAGAAGAGTCCTTGCAAAGATTTTCCCCTGAAGTTATGGTGCAGAATCCAAACGTTAAAGATGCAGTTTCCCTACTTCCACACTTCACTCTATTTCATGGAACTGCAGATTATTCCATACCATCAAATGCCAGGTCTTCTTCTTCTTTTTATTTCATAAGTTATGTTCGTCTCATTTTGGATCATTTTATTAGTCCCAGACTTTTAGATTTCTTCCATTTTAGTTATTGAAATTTCAAATTGTTTATTTTAGTCCCAAATAACCATTTTGGTTATTGTCGTATTCTGTCATCAATTGTTTTCTTTTTAAAATATTACACTCAGATTGTTTAAATATTGTAGCTTTGTGTTTGTGTATTAATGCAATAACCTAGTATTGGAGTTCAACAAATATTCGGCGAACAGATATTAGGCGGTAAAATAACAACAATAACCACCAATTTGAGGTTTCTAGAGGGCATGCCAATACTGTTGATTTCTGATTTTGGGTGCAGCAAGAGCTTTGCAGAAGTGCTTGAAAGAGTTGGAGCAAAAGTGGAAGCAGTTCTATASAAAGGAAAGACACATACAGATTTGTTTCTTCAGGTGAGCAAAATATAATTCTAAATGAGCAAATTACATGATTTACCCTTTGCATCTTTAAGTTGATAAACATGGTAATTATCTAGTTTAATTTAATTCTTCTAACATTAGGATCCAATGAGAGGTGGCAAAGATCAGTTGTTAGAAGATTTGGTTGGCATCATTCATAATAGTAACACAGAAGCAGCTCTTTCCAAAGATGCAATGGCTCCTCCAAGGAGATGCCTCGTGCCTCACTTTTTGTTGAAGTTAGCTCGTCGTGTTAGCCCATTCTGATTTTATTATTTTATGCCTTCTTATTAAATGATTTTTTTACCCAAATATATATGTATATATACATTTATTCATTCTTATATCTTTTGAAATTCTCAATCCGGTACTTCCCATAAAAAAAGTRTATGTTTTGTTTCAAACAAAACGCTGATGTAAGATTAAATTATTGTGAATATGTGATTGCTAATTGACACATGAAACCTAACTTCATGATCTACAAAATTCGACCAGCATATCAAGACATTCATTTCTTTCGAGAAGCGCGGGCATAGTGTTCATGGTGTGTAAGAAAGMTAATATGAACGCGGTATAAAATGAGAGAGAATGATCACCTATTTTAAGAATTAATTTTTATGTGTTTTTTGACACAAAATGTTATAKGGTTAGGCGGTTGCTTCGTGAAATTAGTTAAGGTGCGTGTAAGCTGGTCCAAATACTCACAGATATTATCATAGCAGCATATTTTTATTTAAGTGAACGTACATGGAGAAGGATACAAGAGCATGAAAATACAAAGATATAAGATAAAAAGCATACTAATATAACATGGTAATTTGGTTTTGCTAGCTCATCATGCAAGCAACCATAGAATCAGCCCTTTTTATTCAGTGCTTTCCACCAGACTTGCCGCCTTTCCCCTACACAACCAACGATAGGACAGGTTCAAAAATCATACAACGAATTTTTGTTACGTTGCAAGAAAACACGATGTACGATCATAAATTCGTATGAAGATAATTTTAAACATATTGAGTATATTATCAGTTTATCCATTTTGATCCTAGTTTGTTCAATAAGAAGTACAACTGATATTTCGACATAAATACACCAAAAACAAAATTACAATATCATATATTTGTTACTATTTCGTAGTACCTTTTTAGGGAGATCTTGAGATTTTTGAGCTGCCTTCTTCGAGGCGGAATTGGATTTCGGGGCAGAAGCTTTGGGTGCAGCCTGGGTAGCTTTAGGCTCCTTCTTAGACTGTGCAGCTTGTGGGGCAGCCAATGCAGGTTTCTCAGCTTTCAAAGAAGCCATGGAAGCTTGAGATTATAGAGTTTTGTAAAGTATGTGAAGAGACAAAGCTGGTTAGTTGGGTTTTGGGTCTGTGAGAATGCTGTTATATATGGGGAGGAGGGTGGGCAAAGGGAATTTGGAACCGCAAGTGACAGACAACATGAGTGAAGAGAATGGGAATAAGTGATATGGCTTACCTACATGCATCAGATACTCTGCTTAGCATATTTTTCAGTTCCCTTGGAAACTTGGAAATATATTGGTTCTCTCTCTTTTCTAGAAGCCTTTGTATTGTCTGTAGCTTTTATTTTATGAACAAAAATCATTTTTTACCCCTAAACTTGATCGACTTGTATCAATATTTACCGTATACTCGGAGGATAGTAATCATATCACTATAAGTCTCGTAGTTCATCCTTGGCCAATGAGTTTAAAATGCATTCTAAAGTTCACAATCACATCACACTAAACCAAATTAAATGCTAAAAGATAATCATTTAGAATTTAAAAAGTGATGGGAATAAGTTTGTTCTAGTACTTCTAAATAATCTCAAGCAAGCTAAAATTATTCATGAGGTGTTAATGAATCTAAAACACATGAACCCTAGTTAAAAGGCATTATGGGACCTTAAGGAATCAAAATAATGCCTAAAGGGTGTTCCATTCCCTAGAAACATACCTGAATTGTTAGGTACATGTGAGTTAATGTATTTGAGATACATGAATGGTATATATACAAATATTCATATTTAATTTGTGTCTTTTATAGGTGTCTATTGGGTATTATATAAAGGGATGATTTCTCTACTTTGTAACTAAAAGAAAATTGAAGCAATTCAATCAAGAAAGAAAAGAGAACAATATCTTCTTTGGTGTATTCTTGAGTTTCATAAGAAAACAAATTTAGTTTCATAAGAAAACAAATTTCTTCTCTTTAAAGTTTGTGAGTTTTAGAGTGAATTTTAGTGAGGGTTTATTAACGTTTCCAACAAAGTGGTATCAAAGCCAATTTTAAAAGATATCATGCAACATGTTGTAGCTTCAACTTCCTTATTTGAAGGAAAGAACTATAGACGTGGTRGAGTCAACAAATGAAGGTTCTTCATAGATCTCAAGAGCTTTGGAATATTGTTGATAGAGAATATTTGGGGCCAAATGGTGAGGATAGTCTTTCACAACAATAACTCAACGAGTTGAGAGATGCTAGAAAGAAAGACAAAAATAGATTGTTTTTTGTCTACCAAGTTGTAGATGAAAATATCTTTGAAAGAATGTCAAGAGTTTCATCTGYTAAAGCAGCATGGGTGCATTGCAATGTTTGTAAGAAGGAGAGAAAAAGGTAAAAATGGTAAGATTGCAAGCACTTTGAGCTGAATTTGATACCATTAGAATGAAAGAAACTGAAACTATTGAAGAACTTTTCAATTGTGTTCTCCCTATTATTAATCAATTGAGATAAAATGTAGATGCAATTGAAGATCAAAGAGTGGTACAAAAGATCCTTATAAGCATGATTAGAAGATATGAGCACATTATAGTAGCAATTGAAGAGTCCAAAGACTTGTCAACTCTCTCCATAAATACCTTAATGGGATCTCTCCAATCTCATGAGCTTAGATTGAATCAATTTGATTCTACTCATTCAAAAGAAGTTTTTGATATGTAAACTTCTTCTAGAGGAAGATATAATGGAAGAAGATGTGGACGCACCARTTGAGGAAATGGTGAAGGGATGTGAATCCCGGAGCGAAAGCGGATTTTCGTTGCTGATTTTCGGGATACAAAATCGAATTTTACAGAAGAAAAATATAGGGGAAATTTTACCTTTGAAGAACGTTTCTTCAACCAGTTTTCCTCGAACACCACCACTATTTCTTCCTCGCTATTCTCTTGGGTCTCGGGATCGTGCTTGTGRTAGCACCTTGATCGAAGAGAGKGAGACATTGAGATAATTTTTTTGATTGAGAGAGCTTCACCTTGGGAGTGTTGTGTTGTTCTGTTCTGCAGAACCTTTCTGCAAAWTTTCCCCAGAAAACTAGGTCACTTAACTCCCCACTCCCYTGCAATAATGCATGGGAGTTAATAATTAATATTAATAATATTAATAATATATGTAAACGCCCCAGAAATTTCACCATTTCCAAACAGGGACCGTTACTAAGCATACCTAAAATTTTCACATAAACAAGAGAATTTTCTTCACAACAACACTAAGCAATAAAACTACCACGCTTCTGCTGCGCTACYCTGATTTCCAACACTCACGAGAGCTTGAACAATTAGAACAACAACACTAATGTTTTAAGAGAAACYCACATCCTATACAGATAAACCATTTAATACCGACTTCACATTAACCAAACCCTTCAAGGAAACCTTACTAACTATAAACCATCCACTAAATGAATATTAACATCTCGAATGGCAATGAAGCAAAAGCTAATTCAAGTACGATCAACTTAAACAAATGTATTCATAAATATCCTAAGTGGATTACAATCCCGTAGTTCAAGAGGCTAACAAAATTAATGCTCTAAAAGAACAATGAATCAGCAACTTTACGACATCCTTTAGACAATAAAACTAAACAGAACCAACCACTACCAACTCAACTACAACATTAAATGGCCAAAACTATCCTAACTACAAGAAATTTAATTGCACACAKCATAGCTAATGGTCTTTCCGATCAAGCCTCCTTCTCGCCATCACCATCCCAAGAGCTAGCTCGATACCTGCGAACTGGAGGGGAAAAAGAGGGATGAGTACAACCACAGTACTCAGTAAGCAGCCCTTATTTGAAGGGTCACGCACAAACAACATACTTATCAAGGAACAAAGTGTCATGCTTATTAAAGAATCAACACACCCACATCATGCTCAACCAAATCATGAAACATTCACAGTCATGCTTTTCATCACATTATGCATTCAAACATAGACACATTC